AGTAACAAATACCGATAGAATTAGAGAAAATTACCTTACGTGACTAAAACTCCTTCGATCTATGACCTATCAAATTTTTTTCTCAAAATAATATAAAAATTGGTAATAGTTAATACTCCCTCCGTATTTATAAGTTCACTACAATAGCATTGGACACATTATTTAAGAAAAAAATAGTAAGGGTAATGAATAGTATAGAAAAAAGTAGGAGAGAATATTTTTAAGAGAAAAACTTACCAAAAAGGGAAAGTGTAGCAAACTTTTAAATACATCCCAAAAACGAAAGTGTAACAAACTTAAAAATACGGAGAGAGTATAAATTCGTAATTAATAAATAATTAAATAATATTTATGGACAACTATACAGTGGGCGACTGCGTCGATGGGGGATTGGAGAGGCATAACTAGGGTTGGAAAAAAGAATAGGTTTTGTTATTCAAAGGCAATCAAAGGCAATAAATAGCATTACAACATTGGCAGAAAATGCGATGATTATGACCGGTAGTGCGGTAATGCAGGGCAGTAATGCCACCATGTAATGCAATATACTTATTTAGACGTTAAATAGTAAAACTATTAAATCCAAACAAATAAAAAATAAAAACAATAAATAAATTCCTAAAGTGAATGAAAAGAGATTTAACTTTGGAGCAAAGTGCAGTGATTATTACCGGACATGAAGTAATGTCGTGCAGTAACTGAAATATAAAGTGCATTAATTTTAAATGGACGAAATTAGTGCAAAATCAACATATTTTAAATAAGGGTATGTAACACCCCAAATACTACTCAGTATGCTATAAAGTTATCACTTAGCTTAGTACTTTAAAATGAGGGTGGTTTTAACAAAAATGAATCTAGTTAAAGTAAACTTGGAGACAGAATTTTCTCTAGAGATACAATAAAGATAAAAAAAAAGGTCTAAATGTAATAATGACTTAAAATCATAATACATCAATTTTTTTTTTTTTTTTAAAAGTAATAGCTCGTAATAATAAGTAACAAGTAATTTTCATAACAAAGAGATAGCTTGAATAAAAGGAACATGGCTAAGCTAACATTAATGTATTAGTTAAAATTGAGGTTGACATTTAAGGAAAAAGATAAAATTAATTTAAAAAGTCAAATCCTCCTTAAGAGGACTTCGGGAAGCAAAGTACACCCATGAGAACAGCTAAGAAGCTAGACAAATCAATTTGACATGCACATAATAATACATAGGACACTCATCAAAAACTTTTATGTATATACTTGCATGACAGATGACACATGGACGAACACCCAAAGTATGTAGCTAGCATAGGACACTCATCAAAAACTCCATGAACAAAACAAAACAACAATAGTGATAAATATTGAACATTTGGCAAAAATCATGCAAAACGGTCCAGTACTCTCATCAAATCAAAGATACACTCGACAGTCCATGAAAGGAAACAAACAAAATCAAATTATATACGAATATATTATTAATAGTAGCAACATGAGCCCTATTAATAGCTCTAAAGAAGGTAGGTATTAAGCATCGAATTGAAGGCAGTAGTGTTGAGAGCATATATGGCTCTAACGTATCCTTACTGCTACAAATTTACAATTCTTTTGAAAACCAAATGAAACATTAGAAAATTAGAAAAGCTGGTATCGTGAGCTGTAGTTTCGGGAAGAAAGTTGGGTGCTGATGATTTGGCCGAATTATGCTACAAGGTCTGTACTATAATACGACATTTGTTAAATGCAATTATCTTTATTATTAAAAGAAATGATGTCAGTATTATAATACGACATGTATAAGATATCATTATTTTTAATTCATTTAAAGACAAGCTATGATGTTAGTAATTTTGCTTTTATTAAGGGTTAATAATTTTATTACGATATTTGTTAAGTGTTAATAATTTTGCTATTTGATGCAAAGATGTACCTGCTTTATATAATATATGCTCTTATTAAAGTAATTTTATAATCTGTTAATTAAAGATAAAATGATGAGTTTGGCACTAAAATATCACTTTCGGTAAATATAAGTACGTATGCATGGAAGTAAGTTTCGAATTTTAAACTATAAGTAATAGCCTCATTTTACTACACTGCGTATTATTTATATGTAATTCTATAATGTACGTATATCTTTTAAAGAAGACTGATTGAATATAAGTTTCAAGTATGATTAATGCCTAATTAATGGTCATATGTCTATTGATGTTATTTGATTATCATATTTTTGTAACAATATAAGAATTTGTGAAATATTTTACGAAAGAGCCTTACTCTGGGATTAGATGCTAGTAATGGGTACCTCTGTTCTGTTCTGTTTTGGGTACGAGTTGGTTTTACCGACTACGACTCCTCTGGTGTGCTAGCATACGGCCCAGGCCAGGGTCCTCTGAATCTGAAATCTCTGTTTTGTTATCTGATGATCCTTGTGATCTGAAGATCTCTGTTATCTGATGGGTAAAGTAACTAGAACTTTGTTCGAAATTACTTTATCTGTATCCTTAGGTAGAGTCTGGTCATCAGAGTAAAGGCTGAAATTAAAGTGCTAAAGAATTCAGTATTCAGAAAGCTAGACAATGTCTATGAATTTGAATAAGATTTATGTGTAATTATTTTCTTATTGGATATATGCTTTCAGCTAAATGATTATTTCTATGTGAAATTATGTTATTTTATCCTTTAAAATTATGGATATGTTACAAAAAGATCCGAATTATGGATATGTTCTGAATATGAAATTCTGACAAATGCTTCATGATTTATGTACCTATTTCTTAAGTGGTAAATTCACAAGTATAATATGTGAAATAATAGTATTAGTTAAAATTTACTTATATGATGATGATGTGAAATATGTTTTACGTATACGTTTTAATTATGTAAATTGACTTTAATGATATTAATACTTCTTTGTCAATTATTTGAGTAACAAATATAAAGACATGCTTGTCATTACATGTTATATCATAGTACCACTCAGCAATTTATTGCTGAGCGTGTAGTTTTTCTACACGTAGGTGAATATGAGAAGCAAGCTGGAGCCCGGGACTATGAGACATCTGGACGAGAGTGATTTCGCATGTTTCATTTAGTTTTTTTTAAATAATTAAGTTGGTACAACCAACACCGTTTTAAAATTTAATATGCTAATGTAATAATCGGAGTTTTATTTCAAGTTGTTATGTACTTGGTTAATTGTCTTTTATTTTCAGACTACCATTGAACCGAAATAATATTAAATTTTATTATTTATTTTCTACGGAAAATATTTTCTAAAGTAGCTATATATAAAGGATATATTTTTATTAAAAGATAAACGACCGTGGCATCCGTCCCGAACCGGCCAGGCCGGGCGGGGTGGGTGTTACAGGGTATTTTTGTCATTCAACATTTAAATATAAACGAAATTTTCTTTTTTATGGATTTTTGGTCATACAAAGGTCCAAAAACTAGTTAGGTCATAGATTGGGAAACTCATTGAGTTTTAGTCATATCCTAGTAAATTTACCATACCGATAATTTGTGTTAAATTACGAGTTCACAATGAAAATAATAATAAAAACCAAAGTCATCATTAGTTAATAAAATACATTTCATTTAAATTACTCCTCCGTACTACTTATTGATATCCCCCAATAATCTTGTACATATGTATAACTTTAAGTGAAAAGTTAATTTATTTTTGATTTAAGGACTATAACTAACAACTTGACAAGTATAAAATTATTTATACCAATTTATTAAATATAGATAGTTTAATTTATTCATCAACTAATTACATTAAATTATAAATAACATGTTGGGGTATATTACCCCGACCTGTTACTGTTCAGAGAATCAGAGGCCCCGAGGCATCACCCGGTATGGAGCCTAGTCGGCGAGGCCCGTTTTAGACCTACCCGGCCCATTTCCGCCCAACCAGCCCATTTAGGACCATTGGCCCAAATGAGAATAACCTTGGTCCCCCCTCCCCCTCCTATAAATAGGAGGAGACATTTCCTTTCTCTCACAGGGGAGTCTTCTTCTTACTCCCTCTTTAGATTAGCTTATTCATACTCCATTAATGGAGCTTCAACTGATGTACTATGTAAAATGGTGAAGAGGGCATATTAATTAGAAAGAGCGGACTTGGATGTTAGCCTAAAAAGTCTAGTGGTTTTCTCCCTTTCGGGTTTCCACGTAAAAATCGTGAGTTATACCAAATTTATATTCTATATTTACAATCTTATGTTGGATTAAAATCAACACAACCTAATTTGTTAAATTATTTCATCAATTCATCATACATACATTAATAGACCTTAACCGTAAATCCCTATTCCCTAATGACCCTTATAAACAATTTAAATCACATTTTCACATAAAGCCAACAATTTAAATCACATATTTATGAACGTTTTAATAACAATAATAAACTTGGAATTGCGAAACGAAGTAACTGACGTCAATCTTTACTACTCCGTAAATCCTAGCGGCCGTCTCCCAACCGTTATTATTGTTATTGTTATTATTATTAAATTATCATAATAATAATAATAATACTTCGTATAATACTAGTTATAGATTTTAGGGGAAAATAATATTAGCCCCTTATATCATGTTATAATTATTAATGCAATCTTGTATTTTCAAAAAACAATTAGTTATCCCCTGAGATTTGATCATTATCACTATATGCCCCTTCACATTAATATTCTTAAATTAAATTTAATATAACTCTTAAATTAATCAAAGTTGTCTATCAAGTTAATTTTTATAGTAGAAAACAATTTATTATCATAATTTTAAGTCATTGTTGTTGATCATTATTTTTCTAGGTAGATGTTGGATCGTGGAATGACCATTAATTTTATAGACAATTTTGATTGAATTTAAGAATTATGTTCAATTTGATTTAGCAAATATTAACTTCAGGAGCAAATGCAAAACTGCATTAATTTCCCTTAAAGGCTGACAGTAATTTTCCCTGGATAAAATGCAAACGTGGAGCAAGGATTTTGGGCGGCTAACTGCTACACCCCTTGTGCTGCCTTCTAAATTAATTAATTATTATGTTGGTTGAATTTGTGTGTAAAACTCGGCCTGCGAATTGAAATTTGTGAAGCTATTGGCCTGGAAAAAAAGTCTTTTCTTCTTCCACTTCTACCAATTCGGCAATTCCAATAGCTTCGTATGTATAAATCTGCTAGCCATGGTTCATCCAAGGCTAACAAGTTTAAATAACTCTCAAGCTAAGCAAGTGAAGGTATGCCCTTTAACTTTAAACCGTAGTACACGTTTAGTAATAATAATTTTACAATGTTTACTACTACCTATTTCACATTTGTTTAAAATCATTTCATGATCATTTTATTTTAAAATACAAGGTTTGAACCACAATAAATTAGACTCGACATCTACATTATAAAGAGAATACATACATGCCGAAGTTACTAGAGTGAAAACACCTCCTAGCTATATATGGCATAGAATTTCATAAAATTTAGTAAAAAGTATATCGTGATATAATATTGTTGATAAAGGAAAAAACTATTGTTACACATTTTTTGTACACACTTACATATTTGTATCTGTGAAGTTTTTTTTTTGTCTGTATACAGACACAACGCATTTGAAGTGTCTGTGAAATAAGTTGTGTCTGTATACAGACAAAACAAAACAGTTCACAGACACGAGTGTGTAAGTGTGTGTACAAAAATGTGCACCTCAAGCCTGGTTGTATTATAAAACCCAGAGTGAAAAACATCATGATTTAACAATAGAAAATTGTCTTCTAATTCCCTAATCGGAAGAGAAACATCATGTTTGCTTCTCAAATCTGTTCTCAACTGAGTATAGTGTAATAATGAGCATTCGTGCAGCTTTTTTAAGTATGTGCCCTTAGATTAAATTTTATGCATCTATTCATGTGAATATATAACTTTCTTTTTCTTTGCTTTTGGTTGCAGAAAGAATTAAGAGGGTTGACAAATTGATTCTTCTGTGTGTCTGCTATACACAGAGGAATGGGTCCTGACTCTAGGAGAAGGATTGCGAATGCCTTCCGTGCTACAAAGGTTCGCAGGATCAGTGAGGAAAAGGTGAAGCCTGTATTGAAACGTCTTCTAAAGTTGTATCATAAAAACTGGGATCTCATTGAGGAGGACAATTATAGATCCCTTTTTGATGCAATTTTTGAGTATGAGGAAGCTGAGGTGAGTCTAGTTTCTTTTTTCAATATTCACCTTTTTATTCACTGTTTCAATTAAATGATTAATATCCATAAATGTTCTATTGTTTACATCAATCTTATAGGAAGCAAGACGCGCAAAATATTCGACATGTGCTGCAGTAAGGACCTCCTTTATTGTCTAGCCATTGTTCTTTATAGATGTTATCATTGAATCATCCATGCATTGTTAAACTTACTAGGGCTTTGTTTGGTATCTGGTAACATCAATTGTCTTATTTTACTTTTACGAAGAAGATTAAGCAAAAAATCAGAATAGGATTCAACTTGGTGAATTTTTTCTTTTTAGCTCATCACCCATATCAATGAGATTCAAAATTAATGATGCTTGCTAAATATGCTCATAATGAAAAACTAGTACAAAAGTAAGTAAAATGGTTGAAATTAAAGAAAGTGTCATTTCTACATTCTTTAGATCATTGAGCAGATTAAGCAAGTTCAATCACACCTTAACCAAATTCAGCCACTTCAGAGTTCAGACATTTTACGATCACCGAACAAGCTCTAAGTATAGTAGCTTACAAATTACTTATATATGGTTGAGATCGGTTTTTACCTAAAGGTTTTACATTAAAAAATTCAACTAGTTCAGCCATTGCAGTAAAAAAACTTACAAAACAGGCACTAATTGTTCTGTAATATGTACTGTACTGATTGGTCGCTCATCCTTGGTTTTCTCCTATGCACATTTTTTAGCAGGAGGGTGCTTTGGTGGAACCCAAGGTTTTGAATGAAGAGCCCGAAAGACCATTAAAAAGATTTCGTTTGAGACAGCAAGATGGTCAACCAGCATCGTCCAGCCTTGGCGGGACTTCACGGGCAAGGCGCGATGATGGTGGGGATGCACTTCTTCAGGGACCACCTCAGTCATGTGATGGACAGATTGATCTTAGAAGCAAGGGGAAACAGCATGTTTCAACTAATCCACAGTCATCCCAAAAGAGCATTGGTGGTCATGTACTGGTCAAGCCTAAAGATGAGCCAGGTATTTTGAGTCTAGTTTCTTTTCATTTGACCTATAGGGCCTTGTCTAAATTGGACAATCCCAAATATGGAAGTGATTTATACTAGGTTTCTTTCCGGTCCAAATCTCATATGGTGATTTAGTTGTAGCTGTAGTGGGAACTCTATTTAATACTACCTCCGTTCTTAAATAAATGCAACATTTTGACTTTTACACTATTCACACGTTCTACTTGGACTACGTTTTATTTATTAATATAATAATAATTTTTTATGAAAAAAATATTGTTAAACTTGTCTCATTGTCAATTTTCATAATCTATTTTTTTTTTTTAAATTTTTTACTAATACAAAATCATATATATTAATGGTCAAAGTTGTGTCTCGGCAAGTGTGAAATGTTGACTGTTGCATTTATTTAAGAACGGAGAAAGTATGTAAGCTGCATTTTTTAATTTCTCTTCTCCGAGTGAAATTCAGATTACAGTTTTCATCATTTCCTTCAATGTACGGTTTCGTCTCTCAAAACCACCATTCATGCTAGGAATTCCTGGCATGGTGTACTGAGAAACAATCTCACATGTCTCTAGGAATATTGTAAATGGCCCTTGACACTGTTCACCAGAACCATCATATCAACCATAATATTCACCACCACGATCAGATCTAATGACTTTTATTCTTTTACGACAATTTGTCAACGAAAGCATACATGACTTCATCGGAGACAGTCTTTCAGATATGAACAACGGAGGCTAGGGTTTGTGTTTTTTAGTTTACACACACCCTCAGAAATTATCTCTCTAGCGATGAGATAGAGAAAAATGGAACGAGTTTTATCTAATTTGTTGGTATGAGTAATACTATTTATCCATTTAAATTAAATCTCAAGTATTACATTCACCCTAATCATAAACCAAACGTCCCAATTCTATGTTGCACGAGTATGAATACGCTAGTACACCGACACGTGAATACGAGAACGGCGATACGACAACTTCAAAAATTAGAGGATACGGGTATAATTTGCAAATATATATAATTCAAAAGTTCATAAATAAAATAATAACAGTACAAAAAATTAACAATTATAGTAAAATTTCAAAGATTAAACTAAAAAAACTAAAGTACTCTGATAGTTTGATTTAAAGTCAAATAATATTTTTGGTTCTCTATTTGCTTTTACAATTAAGTCTTTTAACAAGACTGATTTCAATTAATGCTCGATAAATTGGCAAATTATAGTATTCCAATATTTTTCATACTCTCGAAATCGTTTAACTAATGTTTCACAGCTTGTGGCCGCTTGGACGGATACTAAATTTCATAATGTCGTGTATGAAATCAGGGTTATAGGGTTAGATACACATATCGATTCACTGATACGGGTATCGGAAACATCTACTACCTCCGCCCCAAATTGTTTTGCAAAGTCAACATTTTTTGGTCAATCAATAATGAAAGTCAATGCTCCATATCAATAGTTAATTCAATTTTTTATAATTAAAATTTACATATTCAAAAATCACATTAAAATCTTTTCAAAGTTGCAAACACCAAATTAGAATATAATTAAAAATTAGGGGTAATTTGAGTTTGCACCCCATATTCTTGTCTAAATTGGACTTTGCACCCCATTTTTAAAACTCTTTGTTATTGCACCCCAACCCCATATGAAAAGACAAAAAAGCCCCTCCATTAACAATTCTGTTGACCTTTAACATATTCCTGATTGAGGGCATTTTTGTCTTTTCATATGGGGTTGGGGTGCAAAAACAAAGAGTTTTAAAAACGGGGTGCAAAGTCCAATTTAGACAATAATATGGGGTGCAAACTCAAATTACCCCTAAAAATTAATATCCAAATTAAACGAATAAAATGAAACTGTTTGATCAAAAAAGTTAAATTTACAAATCAATTTGAGACGGAGGTAACATACTTTTAAATATAAGTATGATACTTTTATTAAATTAAGGATAAATATCGATATGAGATACGAAATATAATGCACTGTAGCTTCACATTAATTAATTATTTTATTACGTAGTAATTAGCTACAGAATCAAGAACACGAAGCCGTTGGCGGGTTCTCGAGATGTCGAGAACTAACAGAAACTCTGGAGAAGTCTAGAAACATGATAAGAGAAGAGAACAAGGGACCATAAAGCCAGTTGATACTTTCTTCTAGAAAACTCCTCATCTTACTTTAAATCTCCTCCCCCATAAATTCCGCCCTATCCTCGGCCGATAAATCGATACAAAGAATATCGCAGAAGAGCTCTAAACCACAAAATGTCTCACTGTGCGTCAAGATTCGCTGTTCCCCACCCTTTGGCATCACAATGCATCATTCCATCTCATTCTAATATTCCCAAGTTTGCAGTTCCGATTGCCGGTAAAAATGGCAGATCAAGAATCGCATCCATGGCCGTTGATGGCAGAGACAGCATTGACCAAGTTCAGCAAAGGTCAATAAAGACCCAACCCCCAAGGAGGGCTGTTCAAGCAGTTGCTCCCATTGGTAAAGTTCAATCCCAATTTTTTCTTCTATTCCTCGATACCATATTAGTGAAACTGTAACCGAAAAATTTAATCTTTTTCATGACAAGATTAGTTTAATTTGTGTGATTCTACTAGATATAGAGTAACAATGGAGTGGGTTAGATGAGAAAATGGAAAAACTTACACTAACCACTAAGAAACAATGAAAACAATAGTAAAGTTCAAATCTTTTATAATGCTTATGATAATGAAGAAAGAAAAGTGAAGCTGTGTAGAAGTTTTGCGTGTAAAATCATGCTTTCAAAAGCTAAAAGTGGAAATTGAATATGAATGTGTGTAGGTTTGTGGGATAGGTTCCCAACAGCAAAGACAGTGCAACAGATGATGGACACAATGGACAGATTGATAGAGGACCCTACGGCCTTCAATGGAAGGTGGTCTTCTTCTTCCCCTGTGCCACATGAGAATGGAGGGTATGGCAGGGGGAGAACGCCATGGGAGATCAAAGAAGGTGAGAACGAATACAAGCTGAGATTTGACATGCCTGGAATGACTAGAAAAGATGTCAAAGTGTGGGTTGAGGAGAAAATGCTTGTGTTCAAAGCAGAGAAAGCGCCAAAGAAGAAGGACGGAGAAGGGGTTGGAAAGGAAGGAGTAGAAGAAGACAGTGGAGAGTGGTCTGCAAGTAGCTATGGAAGATATGGCAGCAGAATAGCTCTCCCTGAGAATGTGGAGTTTGAGAAAATTAAGGCTGAGGTGAAAGATGGTGTGTTGTATATCAACATACCAAAGGCTGTAGCCAGTAGTAAGGTTTTTGATATCAGTGTTGAATGAAATTGATTTGGAAGATGTATTTTGATTTGCTGTTATTTATGATTCCATTTTTTGTTGGATGTGAAGATTGAAGAGTGTCCTTCCTTTGGATCAAGAAAACATCCGAACATGTGGCTTCATTTTTGTTTTTGTAAAGTGAGTGGTCAAACTCGTTTTTATGTTTTTGGCTATGTTCTTACTTAGGGATCGCCAGACATTTTCTTACATATTCACTGTTTGAATATGTGGCTCTCACTTTTATTTTAATTGTCTGGTATAATTGTCAAGACAATTAATTAAATGTAAATAATCAAGAGGTTCTTTTTATAATGTTATTTAAATGAAAGTGATGGATAAGACTTAAGAGTGACATAAGTCACTTGTAAAACAAAACACCACATAGTCGCTAAAAGGACTAGTATAGTCTTGAAGTATAAAAAGTTACATCATCTTTACCCATTACTTTTATTGTAATCGTATATATTTGTAATTTTTTCAATAATGACATAAAGTAATATTTGTAATCGTATATATATTTGCCACTAGGCATGGGCTCGGTTCGGGCCGGGCCCGGTTCGGGCCTTGAACCGGCCGGGCCTCGGTTCACGGTTTGGGAGGCCCGGAACCGGCCCGGGTAACCTCGGGTCCGGTTCGGGCCGGGCCGCCCGCCCGGTTCACGGGCCGGGCTCGGTTCGGGCCGGTCCTTTTACTTTTTTTTTATATTCTATACTATATAATTATAATAATTGTTATTAAAAACAAAATTCAAGTGCATTTATTTGAAATAGGAAGTACATTTGAGAATTGAGGAAAAAATAACAATATGAAATACATTTTTGAATAAATATCAATTGGGATTTCCGTCACCGTTGGTTGTTGTTTTACCTTTGTCACATGACTTCATATGTTTCATTGGCATCCCGACTCCGTGTGAACGCCCCAAGCAACACTCTTTCTTGCACCACTTGCAAGTTGCCCACCACAGTCCGGTCTTTGGGTCCTTCCACTTATCAAAGTTGTTTTGCATAACAGAAGAATTAATTTCCATCTTTAAAATGGTAGATGTATAAGTAGAAATGTAGGATAATAAGAGAAGATGAAGATGGAGAATAGTTGGAGAAGAGGTGTAGAAAATAGATGTATTTATAGATTTTTTTGAACCCCACCCCCACCCCACCACCCCCGCGACCCCCCTGCCCCCCACCCTAAGCCCCAACGGCTATATAGCCGTTTGGGAGCAATCTCCCACTTCAAAATGTTTTAATTTTTTTTTAAAAAAATTATACATATTGTGTATAATTTATTTAGAAAAGTGATTTGATTTAGAAAAGTGTAAGGAAAGTGATATGATTTAGAAAATTATACATATTGTGTAAGGAAAATGTTTTTAATTTTTTAATTAAGTAAAACTATTTTTACTTAGAAAAGTGATTTGATTTATAATTTACAAATGTTACAAAATAGGTGTATAAGTTGTAACTTGTAAGTTTGTAACAAATTAATTAATTTACATATTAATATTACATATTTTAATTTAAAAACAGCCTTTATATTTTACAAAAATAATTTCAAGTTGTAAGTTATAAGTTTGTAAAATTGTAACCAATTAATTAATTTGAGAAGTTCTACATATGAAGTACAAGTTTACAAATGAATTTTATTGAATTGAATTATTGAATTGATGTACACAATAATATAAAATAATTCAAGTATATTTATTTCAAAGAAGAAGTACAATTGAGAATTAGGATGCATTTAAAATATGTAATACATTTTGAAATAAAAAATCAATCGGAATCTCCGCCTTCGGTGGTTGTTTCCTCCATAAAGTGGCGGGTGGGAGCGATGGTCATTTCTTGAGTTCTTCGTTTGGCCTTCAACCAATCATGGAAACAAACTAGCGTCTCAAGAGAGCTCGGGCTCAACCTCGTTCTATAATCATTTAGGACGTTGCCGGCCGCACTAAATTCTTGTTCCACGGCAACTGTTGATATCGGCATTGCTAGCACTTGCTTAGTCAGTTTTGATAAAACCGGGAACGTTCTTTCATTGTCCTTCCACCACTTAAGAACATCAAAATCATCCCCAACTTCATAATCAACATTCAATGTTAGATACAAAGAAAGCTCGTTAACTGAGCTTTGTTCAGTAGCGGGAGTTGCTCTACTTTTTTTCATAAGAGAACCAAATGCAGATTTTAAAAGTGATTTTCCTTTAGATGAAGAAGATGTTCGCGGCATGGGAGGGGGTGCATTACCATATTGTGCATAAAATTCATTATACAATTGATGAAATAAATTACTAACCTCGTTGTATTCTTGTTTAGGGTCGATGGGATTATCATCGAACTCTTGAGTTGGAAAAAAACAATTATAATAGTAATCTATACAAGTTGCAATACCATATATATGCGGAACATGTGAATAATATTTTAAAAATTTTTGTTTCATGAAATCACAAAAATAACTAACGTAAGCGGCATCGGAAAATTCTAAAAATGTGCCGGCGAGATTAACAGCTTCAACAAAAAATTCGTTTGCGGTAGGTTTATAAACATGACTAAAAGTTTGAGTTGCGTTATTAAAATATACCAAAACATTAACAATTTTTTCACAAGTGTCGATGTCAGTCGGGTTTATAATATAGTTACAAGTTTGCCTTAAAAAAGCAGGAAAATGATCTTTATATCTAATAAGTACTTGAATTAAGTTATAAGTACTATTCCAACGAATAGACAAATCTTTAGGAAAAGCACAATAATTGACACGTCTTTCCTTCAAATATTCCCGCCATTGCATTTTTAGTGGAGTGTTAGCCCAAATCAATTTAATTCCCCCCTTCACTACCTCCAAAGCATGTCCTAATGCCGCTATTCCATCTTGTACACACAAATTTAGAATATGACATGCACAACGTTGATGAAAAAACCTACTCATCAATGTAGAAGCACCACACAATTCACGCAATCTAGGTATAGCAGCAGTATTATTACTAGCATTATCAAAACCTACAGCAAACACCTTATCAAGCAAATTATACTCAATTAAAATACGCTCAATGAGAATATAAATATTATCAGCAGTATGACGATCATTGAATTCACGAAAAGCAAGAACACGTTTATGCATATTCCAATCATCATCAATATAATGTGCAGTAAGACCCAAATAATATAAATGATGATAAGTATCCTCCCATATATCGCTACAAATACTAACACGTCCATTAAAGTTTGCGAAAAATGTTTGTAAATTTTCTTTTTCGAAGTTATATTGCCTTATAACTTCTTTTTTAATCGCTTTGCGACTATAATTTCTAAATTGAGGATTTAAAGTGTCTTGAGCATAATCTCTTAAAGCAAGACTTTCGGAAAAAATATAGGGTAAATTTTCTTCAACAATTAAATGAGACATATCAGTCAAATGTTTTTGATCATCATAGGAGAAATTACCAAAGGGTTGAGAATTTGCAAACCTCGATATTTGTGTTTGCTTCCCCTTGCTCTTGTCTATTTTCGCATACTCCACAAGATGGGCGGACTTAAGATGCCTTGTGAGACTCCCGTATCCGCCAGAAGTTCCCAAGCTATACTCTTTGCCGCAATGATTGCAACTTGTGTACCATTTTTCGGTATTTTTGTCTTTCCTTTTTGTAAAATTGTTTTCAATAATAGGAGATTTAGATTTCTTACCAGTTTGGGTTGAACCGCCCTCGTCCTCCAAGTCTTGCTCATCATCCGGGGTGCCGTGAGTCCCGTCGCCCCCCGCGTCCTCCTCCGCATCGTCATCCTCGAGCTACTCTTCATCAATGGTTGTCGGGATGGGTTGTTCTTGTGCAAAGCGTGGATCGTTTTGGGACAATATGTTTTGTAGATGCTCGTCGGACATCATCATATCATCTCTCCGTTGGTAATCCGTTTCAAAATCATCTCGACTTTGAAAAGAAGACTCGGCCCGCGCTTTACCTTTGCCTTTGCGTGAAGTAGGACGAGTCGACGCAATCTCCCTCTTGCGGTTGCGTTGGAGATTACCCACATCTACAGAATGTCTACCACGTTCCATCTTTAAAATTGAACAAATATTAAATGATATCAAATATTTTATATGAGTACAATAGTAATAATAAAATGTGACTAAGAAAACTATTGCAAATTTGAACTAAAATATGAGTATAAAAATCGAACTACTTCTAATTAATACTTTAATGAGAAATGTATCAATTAACTAAATATTAACTAGTTTGACTAATATAAATATGAGAAATGTATAAATTAACTAGTTTTTTTTTTATTTTAATGAGCAATGTACAAATTAACTAATATTAATATGAGAAATGTAACAATTAGGTAGTTTAACTAATATTAATATGACAAATTTAACAATTAACTACTTTAGGTAGTTTTTAAAATGACAAATGTAAAAATTTACTAGTTATTTTTACCTTAATGAGAAATGTATACTTTAACTAATATTAATATGACAAATGTAAAAATGTACTACTTTTTTTACTTTAATGAGAAATGTAGCAAGTAACTAATATTAATATGAAAAATGTACCAATTAAGTAGTTTAACTAATTATTATTATGACAAATGTAAAACTTAACTAGTTTTTTTTACTTTAATGAGCAATGTATGAAATAACTAATTTTAATATGACAAATGAAACAATTAAGTACTTTAACTAATTGAAATATGACAAATGTAAAAATATACTACTTTAACTATTTTTTTCTTTAAAGAGAAATGTAGAGAAATGTAACAATTAACTAATTTAATAGATAAATGAGAAGTCTAACAATTAACTACTATTATAAGTAATATATAATATAATGTTTATAGTATATAATATATAAGTATATTACTATAAGATGAGTAATACACTTATACTTAATACTTTAATATATATATATATATATATAAAAGTATATATTAACTAAATGTAATATGTAAATATAAGTAAATAACAATAGTATGTATAAAAACTAAATATCAAATAAATATGAATGTGTATAAGTATATATAGTATATATAATGTGTAAATATATTATAAGTAATATATAATATAATGTTTATAGTATATAATATATAAGTATATTACTATAAGATGAGTAATACACTTATACTTAATACTTTAATATATATATATAAGTATATATTAACTAAATGTAATATGTAAATATAAGTAAATAACAATAGTATGAATAATAACTAAATATCAAGTGAATATGAATGTGTATAGTATATATACTTATATAGTATATATAATTTTTAAGGAATTATAATATGAATGTGTATAAGTATATATTTATAAATAGATAATTAATATATAAGTAGATA